TCATTCTTTCGCTCATTCTTTCGCTCATTCTTTCGTTCATTCTTTCGCTCATTCTTTCGCTCATTCTTTCGCTCATTCTTTCGCTCATTCTTTCGCTCATTCTTTCGCTCATTCTTTCGCTCATTCTTTCGCTCATTTTTTCGCTCATTTTCACAAAACCACAACATAGTGATACTGACAGGATTTCCCTGATGGGCGACCGTAGGTCAGTTTTCTTCAACATTACCATCTTCGAATTGCCTTAAGTTAATTGGTTTGGTCATTACTTATAGATACAGTACACTGTTCAAGAAAAGACGAAGACTAGATTGGGGTGAGTGAAAGATTTTTATTGAAATTGTGTAAGGGTTGAGCCAAAAAAATAAATATCATGCAACCAAATTCCTGCAACCTCCCATCAATTATCTAATGGTTTATCCCTAAGTTAAGAATGGTTTTGTATATGTGGAAAACATACGGTACTGACTTGCAGCACGTACACGGTACTACATGCCGTAACATTGAAGTGGCTTTCCGCATAAGAATGGTTATCGTATGAGTGGAAAACATACGGTACTGACTTACAGCACGTACACGTTACGACATGCCGTAACATTGAAATGGCTTCCCATAAGAATGGTAATCGTATAAGTAGAAAAAAATACGGTACTGACTTACAGCATGCACACAGTACGAAATGCCGTAACACTGAAATCGCTTCCCATAGGAATGGTTATCGTATGAGTGGAAAACATACGGTACTGACTTACAGCATGTACACAGTACGACATGCCGTAACACTGAAATGGCTTCCCATAAGAATGGTTATCGCATGAGTGGGAAACAGACGGTACTGACTTACAGCACGTATACGACATGCCGTAACATTGAAATGGCTTCCCATAAGAATGGTAATCGTATAAGTAGAAAAAATACGGTACTGACTTACAGCATGCACACAGTACGAAATGCCGTAACACTGAAATGGCTTCCCATAGGAATGGTTATCGTATGAGTGGAAAACATACGGTACTGACTTACAGCATGCACACAGTACGAAATGCCGTAACATTGAAATGGCTTCCCATAAGAATGGTTATCGTATGAGTGGGAAACAGACGGTACTGACTTACAGCATGCACACCGTGTAGGACCGTGTACTGAGTAGGACTTGCCTTAACATTTAAAATGGCTCCCATAAGCACTTACACGTGCCACATTCCGTAACATTCAAAATGGTCTTTTCGACAAAATTTTTGTAGTCAGTATATAGTCTGTATTCTTAAATTGGGTAATAAGATACGGAAATATTCGGTGCTGCTGCGAATAAGGCGGATTGTTTTCCACTCGAACGAAAACCACTTTGTCGAATTTTGACAATGAAAATGAAAATGAACTAAGAAAAAATTCTAGGAATCACTGCGCCCCGTCCATCATTAGCACTCTTATCATGGATGCTATTTTTAGAATATTTCAATTGATCGTTTAGTGGGTTTTCTGTACGTAATCGCGTATTGGGCGCCCACTGTTTGTTCATCGAGTTTCTTGTCTTTTTCAAGTTGATCAACTCGTGAAAAACTTAGTCAAATAGCAAATTTCTACACCCTTCGGGGGCTCTGAAATAGTGACGTAGAAATGACGTCACTTTAAAACTGAGGTGTCAGGAAGCCTGTGAAAATTGACCGGAGATATACCTGAACTCTAAAGTTCGGTTATTGTGTTACTGTTAT